ACACCACATGTTCGACGAAATGCCACATTGACGCATGTTTTGAATTCTTGGATTTTTCACTTATGCAATAGTTTACATCGTTATTGTGTAGCGTTTTTGCCGAACAATCATGTGATATTTCATTTGAAAACCACTACCCTAACATTTGAATTCACAAAGGCCCTTCATGGCTAACCTTATTCACTCACGTCACTACCTTCGTCCCTATGTTTTCTTATGCAAACGACCTCCGATTAAGGTGAAATTTGGATATATGCTAGATGTCATTGAGTACTTTCACATGTCCAAAACTTGCCCAGGAAAATTTCGATATTTCTTGGTGATGCTCGGGGCCGAAGTTGGTCACTTGGTCATGGGTCAAATTTTCTAAAAATGCATGTTCGAGCCATAATTTTGAGTTTTCCATACTTATGCAATGTTAGAGATATATTGATGATTCATGTTTTCAAAAATTGCATAAGCACACGTACATGTGCATGTTGAAGAAAGTTTGGGGGATTATGAATTCAAAGATTATTAATGCCGTTATTCCTATACCAAGTGATTGATATTATGTACTTCCTTGTTCAGGATGCCTCCTAAAAGAACTTCAAAGGGAAAAGAGAAAGTCGGCTCCTCATCTGGAACGGCCCGAACAAGAGAACCCGAAGGGGGTGTTAGAAGATTCCTTTCATCAGATACAGCAGCCCGATACGCCAATGTTGTGCGTAATTGGGCAATCATTCCTGAGAGGTTAGTTAAGCTGGAAGATTTTCCCAACTTCGAAATAGCATATCTGATTCACAACTGTGGCTGGGAAAAGGTGATAGAAAGACCTCATCCGGTGTATGAGAATCTAGCAAAGGAGTTTTATGCAAATTTCAACACAGAAATCGACACTCCCAGATCAGAACACTTACATCAGACATGGGTTAGGGGCAAGTGGATTATGTTCTCACCAGAGGTAATTCATGACTACTATCATTTATCCTGGAATAATATCGTCCCTGTCCTAGAAGACTTCAACTGGAATGAGGTTGCTGAAATTTTGTTGGGACGTAAAAACGCTTGGCCTCTACCTACAGCAGACTAGTATCAGATAGATCTCACCCCATCCATAGCAATTTTATGGTTATTCATGTGCCACAACATCGAGCCTATATCCCACAGAACAACATTTACAAATCCAAAGGCCGGATTCATATACCATTTGGTTAGAGGAAACAAGATTGATCTAGCCACATACATCTACAACCAAATCCAGGGTACAGGCACTTGGGTGATAGGCACCACTCTCTGATTTTTCCCAGTCTGATAAGTGGAATATTTCGAGTAGCAGGCATACAAATTCAACCTGGGAAAGCACCGGAAAAGCCAAGCCCCTTCATCAAGTAATCCACACTAGAGGCCCAAGACCGAGCGAGACTGAAGCACCAACAGAAATTAGAAAACGCACGACGACGACAGCAATTGAATGAGGAAGGTCAAGCAGATGCAAACCTTGATATGCCTCAAATTCCTCCACCACCACCCCAGGTTGATATGGACAATCAGGTATTGAGGTAGATATTCGCCACCACCACTGGAACTAGCCGGGACATACAACATCTCCAGCAGAGTTTCGAGACCATGGCTACCACTGTTGACAAAGTGCAAAGAGACCTCTACTCTTCCCGGGACTACACAAGGGGTGCTTTGAATGAAGCCACAGCGGCACGAAGGGAAGTGGAGACCATGAATGGTAGGTTCAACATGTATGCTGGGAGAATGGATGGCACACAGTGGCGAGTGAACGAAACCTGGGATCGATTGGGAAGTATGGAGAATAGGCTTCAATCCATTCAGGCCGAGCAAGCACAGCA